ATTTGGCCTTTTCAGGAGAATTGAAAGGAAAATAAAAGTGAACTACCGCTGACGCGGTGACAGACGTTATGACTTCTCTGATAATCCCATAACAGTCAATGCGATGCGCGGAGGAATCTACTCAGGCAAACAAATTCCAGAATTTAAAAAATACGTCGTGAGATGCCATGAGTGTCGGTAAATTTGATGTTTTGGGAGAACATAATTAATAACCAACCAACAACCAACGCACAATCAGCTTATTGATGTCAAGTCACCCAGCTGACCAGAGTGTTATCTAAGTTTCTCAGTCATTTAACCTCACACAAAGAGAGACAGGAAGACTTCTCAGGTGTTTAACTGTTTTAGCTTCAAATCGAAAATGTTCTCTGTCAGCGTATCTTTGAGGTATTGCCGGTATTTCTTTCAATAAATGTTTATCAAGGCACAATACTCATTAAGAGTTATACGGATTGAAGCTCTTCGTACCTTGCAGTTATATATACTAAGTGACATATAAATCCGAACACCCAGTTTAAATGGTTTTATTTTAATAAAATTTTGTATAAGTACTTAATGAAGCATAATAAGTAAATGATAAAAATTTCAAAATGATAGCACTGCTTTAAAGCCCTTTGACCTTTAATAATGTGTGGATGCACCCATATGTGCTACGCATTCTCCAACGCGCCTAGGCATGCTTCTGATCAGGTGGTCAATGTCCTCCTGTGGTATCTCATTCCAGGCAACCACCAACTCCTCTCCAAGTGCTTCTAGAGTCTGAGGAGGACGTTGCAAATTGAGCAATCTCCTACCCACCATATCCCACACGTGCTCAATTGGGGATAAGTCGGGAGATCTTGGTGGCCATGGTAACAATGTGACATCATTATGTTGAAAGAAGTTTGTGACTCTTGCAACATGTGGTTGGGCATTATCTTGTTGGAAAGTTGGATCTGCCAGTATGTCAAGATAGGGTAAAAGATGGGGTTCTAGAACTTCGTGGATATAACGCTGCGCGTTCATGTTACCTCTGATGAAGGTTAAAGGTGACCTGGAACCATAAGCTATAGCACCCCAAACCATAACTCCAACAGTCTGATGAACATGTCTTTCAACAAAAAACTGTGGATTCCTCCTTTCACCACGTCGCCTTCTAACCCTGGCACGACCATCGTGCATGCCTAAACAAAATCGATACCCCTTCCCTAAAGACAATACTGTTCCATTCCTGACAACACCTAACCACAGTGTCTACACTTCTTTGCACTCTAACTGCGATTGCCCGAAAAGAAAGTCCAGCATCCCGAAGTCCCACTATACGGCCCCTATCAAACTCACTAAGTTGACGAAATCGTACAGGTCTCCGTACTCTAGGCATCGTAACCGTTCGTAAAAGATGTCAAGAACCAAAATCCGCCAACGTTGATTCTTTACTGCGGCTGAAATATTCATTTTTAGAGCGTTAGTGAATTAAAAAAAAGCAGTGTAAAAACCGGAATGTCCAACTGATAAGGCTGAAAATTTTTTCACTTGTTATTTACAGTAAGATAAATACATTCACCAACTTTTATTAAAATAAAACCATTTAAACTGGGTATTTTGATTTATATGTCACTTAGTATACTTGTATACGAAAAAGTGATATTTACAACATTGGCATTTAATAAAAGAATTAGTATTTTTTTATTCCTATGTTTGCTATCGTTTAAAGAGAAAAAGAATATGACTGATGCGTCAACATAAGCAGTTTGCAACATTATTCTGTGGACTAGCTGATATTCTCTTGAACCGCTAATGCGTACAAGTATTTAACATGCTAAAAATAGAGTAAAGTATGTTGACCCATTGCTTCTCACACATTAACGTTATGTAGATATTACAGACTGCGGTATCTTTGTTCAGTAAAAATACACAGACTATACAGACATCAGTGAGGAAGTTTCCTAGAATTGTATGGGGCCCGTAAACTAATATAGTAGTTTCTATATTCACAATTCGCGGGAAAATTTTGACAACCGACTTCTGACAGGTGCTACATTATTATTAACAGCTGGTTTTTGATTTGGTGAAAACATAAGAGATATAATTTTGTAATAGAGAAAATACAAAATAAAGTATTTCATCGAAATAAGACACCACAAAGTTCCACCTAGTGCTGTCTTATTTCGGTGGACTGTGTGCTCTGAATAGAGTACAGTTGCTCAGCTTTCGTTCATTGTCCACCGAGATCAAGCCTACACCATGCCGAAGATTTGTCAAATAGCACGAAACAGCTGTCTATGGTTGGCCGTTTGTGGTCGGAAGAACGAAAGCAATATTGCTAGTTTAAAGACTTTCATATTCTCCATTGCTAAAGAGAAATGCCTTTAGTGAAAATTGATATCTGATTTGATTTACTTGTTGCTGTCTGCAAACCACATATTACATTTATTATGTATACTCAATTTTTTGAACCCGAGTTAAGCGCAATACATGCTTATACGTTGGAAGATAAAAGCAGTTAGATATAAGCAAATAACTGAGTCATCGGGTATTTCCTGAGAAACATAAAGGATGTTTTCTAAACAAACTTTTTTTCTTAAGTTGTGCGTAGTAGACTGAGGGTTATCAACTTTATCTGATTAAATGTTAGCTGGATTCATACGAAAATGCAGTTTATGTACATTCGTTGGAAATATGCTTCCTACGCATCAATATCAGTACCTAATTGAACATATGTTTATACTATATCGCCTAAATGTGATTGTAGTCTAATCATATTAGCACATTTCCTCAAAATAATTGTAAAGTCTGGTTTTATGCGTGCAAGATGTTCAATGGGGTATTTAAAATATGGACGCATAAAATGGGTAAACCAATTTTTGTGGAAAACTTTTTGTTTGACAACAAATGAGCAAACCTGTTTTTGGGATTCAAAAGAAAAAGTTGACAGGAACGGAAAAACCTTCCATACAAGATCTTTAGGTATTTAGGATACCTACAGAATGAGACCACACGTCGAAAGATCCGACTAATAACAAAAATGTTATGGCCGAAAAACGAGGCAATATACAGGTTTTGCGACGAAAATTTCTCGCAACTACCTGAAATTCTTCAAATCTGTAGGATTTGTATTTCTAAATAACAGCAACAGAATTGGAGTACATTGGTCAAGTAGTTTTTTGAGAATCTCTAATTGCTTATCCCAAAAGACATGTCTTCCGGCCATCACTACTAGTTTATTGAGCACTATACAGTGCATAAGCCATTCCGAAAGATAAATGTTATTTTTATGTGAAAAACAAATGTTATCTTTCTTTCTTCTGAACAAATTCAAACATTTTGTATTTGTGAGTAATTGAACATGCGCTACGATATTCGAAAAACATACTATACACATTTTAAAACAAAGCGGATGTCTCTATCATCTTTTGTTGGGAATTACTCACAAATACGAAATGTTTGACTTTATTTAGAAAAAAAAAACGTAACCCATCCTTGTTTGCATAAAAATAGCATTTATCTTCCGGAATGGTTTGCGATTTATATCGGTAAAGGTAAACTAGTGTATTTTGCTATAAAATGCACTTTGAACTAACCGTGTACTGCTCAATAAACTAGTAGTAATGGCCGGAAAACAACTAGAAATTCTCAAAAACTACTTGACCAATCTGCTCCAATTTTGTTGTGATTATCTAGAAGTACAAATAGTACGAATTTGCACAATTTCAAATATCTGTGAGAAACCATCGTCACAAAACCGACAAGCCCCAAAACCTGCAGTTTGCCTCGGTTTTCGGCCACAACTTTTTTGCTATTAGTCGGATCTTTTTACGAGAAGTCTCATTTTGTAGGTATCATACATACCTAAGGATCTTATCAAAACAGTTTTTTCGTTCCTGCCAACAGTTTCGATTGAAACCCAAAAAACACGTTTTCTCATTCTTTTTTGTCGGATAAAAAGTTTTCCCACAAATATTGGTGTACCCATTTTATGCGTCCATGTTTTAAATACGCCCTTGAAGAACTTGCAGCAATAAAACCAGACTTTACAACTATTTAACTAATAATGATTAGACTATTGTGGCTATTCCCTATAGACAATTATTTAACAGACTTTTAGTACGTTATCGTTGAAGGGTGTATAATAAATATTTCCACTATAATCTATGAGCGGGAAGTGTCAGAAAATCCACTCAAAAGTGCTTCAACTTCAAATTTTACGCAAAAATATTCAATATTCAACTTTTATTTTTTTTTCGCGCGGCATCAACGTTTTCCATGTCGTTACCTTAACCATATAATGTAAGATTAGGTCTATCATAAGAGAACTTGCGTTTTCTTTTCAATTCTTATATTTGTTTATTCATCGGTTTTCCCATTTGTTTGTATTGTGAGAGCAAAGGAGTAACACTTTCAGTTGTATATTCATATATCTTTCATGTCTAACAGATTTGAAGTAGAAAGTGATGCGACAATACGCTCAAATAAAAATGTAAAAAGATAAGTAGTCCGTGTGCGAATTAAGGACAGAAATACCAAAACTGCAAGCTTTAGCTTTTTAGAGCAGTGTTTCCCAAACTTATCTAACCTTTTTGGTAGAAACACTGTATCCGACCCCCTTTTTTCTAACAACTCAGCAGCCAAACCAATATTGCGACAAAAATAGCATGCCCAATTTACAAATAACTGATGGTTTTTCAAATTCCATTTTAGGTTACCGTTAAAGCTTAAGCTAATTACATCAAAAAAGTGAACAATTATCTCAATGATTGCGACTTGTTCTACTAGACTTATTGATATTTAGTTTTATGTGTAGACCCGCAATTTGGAAATCAATGTTCCAAACGACAATCAAGTACTTAAATATAAAGACAAATGTTGATAAAAGCTTGGCATATAGGCAAAAATTTCGATATACTCGAAATTTCATTTATATTGAGGACCGAAAATCCCTTCTATAGACCCTGATCCTTCGGAGTTAGTCGATAATGCCCAGAACATGACGATTCTCAAAAGACGCATATCAGTATATTTACCATGGCCATGTACTGGTAACTGGCGTAAAGCTCCAAATTGATCTGCTTGTTGATGCCATCTTCTGAATCCTGGTGGAAATTCTGCCTAACTTGCGACATGTTTACTTGGAACTTTATCCACTACTAACACGCAATATTGCAACGTAGATACTGCTATACTACACTGAGACGATCACAATACGCAAAAACATAAATACTCGAACACGATTTGCATTGACCCCTACTCAGCTGATCGGGAGGTGACGTCTTGTGACGCTCGCGGCGCCGGCGCAGGTATCGACGCCCGCGAGACGCCATAGCGTCGCGTCGACAACAATACACAGTGGCGCAGTGGTCAAGGGCGGATCCAAGTGGTAATCCAAGGGGCTAACCGCTGTTATACGGGGTATCCAAAAAGTATGGATACATAAAGATATCTGCGAAAATACGTTTACTAAAGAAAAATGTATATTAGAACAAAGTTGTAAGATTTGAAAAGAGATACCTAATAGTGACCTTGAATGTGACATTGAATATGGGCCCATTCAAGTATTAAGTAAGCACTAAATGGGGGTGGAGGTCTTCGCTTTGCTTGTTTCTGATGACATGATGGAAGGGGGGTCTGGAGTGTAATTACGTCAGCAAACATTGTCAGATTTTCTTCAGATTCAGAATCTTAGCTACAAATGTTCCTAGTAGAAATGCATGTAATCGAGTAGAGCGCATAACACCACCTTTGAATCAGGACTTAGCTAGTTTCATATATATATAACGTGGCGATACAACATTAATGAACATTTAGAAAGATCCAAAGTTGAATGGAATTGATGTTATTGCAAAGTATGTTGTGTCGGGAGAACCAGAGCTTCCTGATTTTCCAGACACTAAATGGTATTCAGAACATGTGCGTGAAATCCAATACTTCCCAACTAACAATTATCACTCCTATTAGAGTTGCAAGAATGATTATACAGTATTCCTTAAACAGCATTGTATACTGTAAGAACATTAGCAAAACCCTCTTAGAACAGCTATACAAGCGGAATTAATACACCTAATAGGACACTACAGTCATTTAAGAGGTTGTATAAGGGCTGCAGGTAACAGTTATAAAACAAAGGTGTAAGCCTCTTGCAGCCGCTATAGGACATTTGCGTCAGTGCAAGATTCAGTTTTTGTCAACTATACAACTAGTCTCTTACGTGATTCCACTTTATTGCAACCAAACTATTTCCTATGTATTGTATAGACCAAGTGAAGAATATATAACTAACACATTACAGTCATCTTGTTTACTTACATATCGGCCATTGTGAATTTCATTCACAGGTATATGATAAACTTCTACACTTTGATATAGCGCTATTGAATTACTTGCGCAGCAAATTTTATTGTGATTATCGTGCAAATTAGTTACCAAATTTCTACGGGCTTCGTATTTGATTCATATTTTGACAATGATCAAAAGTATGTCTAGATTTGGAAGATGGAAAACTGAACTTATCTGCGTTAAATCTTCCACAAATCCTATATTTAGACACAATTACACTAATGTTTATCACTTTATATCTGTAATTTCGAACTGAAACATAATTATTTAATACTAAATAGAGGAATAAATGTTTACCCAATATGGCGGGTGGTTGTGTACAATCATGGCATCGTCCATGATGTTGTCTTTAGGTTATTAGAATATTTTGCTGTTGCCTGCAGGTGTTAAACAACAATTTTACAAATGTCTGAAATGAAATACCGACAGAGTCGAATGATTTACCCAGAATTTGTACCAGATCTATATCTTCTGTTAGAACAGTTGATAAAGCCTTTTGAACCGATATGCATGCGTTGTTTGTCTTAAGTCGCGTACACATCTGGCGAACGCATGTGGCCGAAGCCTTTCGACCGAACGCCGTCGGTAAATGTGTACGACCTAACAAACGCATGTGTTTGCCTTCGCGAGAGTTCGGTCACTGGGCGGTACATCAAAAGAAAATTGAAGAACGAATTCGTTTGGCTGTGTTTAGTGTGTACGCTTTTCAGTGTCTCATCGTGGTCATTTTGTTTTGAGTTTCTATTTAGCGATAATGGAGTGGACTAATTCCTCTTGTTTAAAACTTATTGGTTTATATCGAGAACGGGAAGTTTTATGGAATCCAGTGCATAAAGATTACAAAAATAAAATAAAGAAAATGGATGCCTGGAACGACATCAGCAAAATTATGAAAGGCGATACAGGGGAGGTCAAAAAGAAAATGGAATCTTTATTAACATCATTCCGACGTGAGAGACAAAAACAAGATAGCTCGTTTAAAACTGGCTTAGGAACCGACACAATTTTTAAATCTAGCTGGTTCGCTTTCAAAGAAATGCTTTTCTTGATGGACAAGTTTATACCAAAAGACACTAAAAACACTGAGGTAAGTCAAAATATTTATTTTTTTATCAAATAAAATAAAATAGGGAGATTTGTACGACCTCAGTGTATAGGCAGTAATAAGACAGAAGATTATAATTAGCCGACTAATTTCTACGCATGTGAATGTTGCCAACTCACGCTACCTTCGCCCATAAAATATGTAGCAAATTCATTTCTAATTGCTTCACAATTTGCCGAACTTTTTCGACCTATCTTAGGTATTGGAAGAAAGGACTGCATTTTTATTTTCGCTTCCCTGTCTCCATTGTCCAGGAATGATTTTTCCTTCTTTCTCATCATCAAATGTTCCTGATGGAGTATAAGTGTTGCGAGAATGTTTACTTTTCCTTAGGAAGTTATGTAAATAGACACATGCTAAAACTACCAAAGTTGCTTTTTCAGGTGATACTAGTATCACTTTTCTCAAAACTCTAAAAACAGCTGACATGATGCCGAAAACATTTTCAACAATACGCCTGGCTCTACAAAGTCTATAGTTAAAGATACGTTTCTTAGAACCTTTTTTTTGTTCTACTGGATACCCCTTCATTAAATGCTCACTAAGGCTAAATGCATCATCTCCTACAAATACATAAGGAACTTTCACATGTCTATTAGGTAGAATGTCATCAGGTGGTAAATGGAGCTCATTGTTTTGCAGTTTTTTCCAAAATATAGAGTTTTTTAGCACACCTCCATCTGAAATCCGACCTTGGCAGCCAACATCAGCAAACAAAAAGCAATAATTTGGATCAGCAACTCCCAACAAAACTATACTAAAATTTCCTTTATAATTGAAATAGTCGCTGCCACTGTGTATGGGTGCCTGAAGTACGCAGTGTCTGCCATCTATGGCACCAAGGCAGTGAGGAAAATTCCATAGAGCTTCAAACATTTCCGCAACATATCGCCATTCGTTTTCAGTTGTAGGCATCTAGAAACAAAAAAAAACGTTAGTGTAAAAAAATATGAAATCAAAATTTTTTCAGGAGATGATTCGACCAAGGAATCAATATCAAGAAGAGGAGGAGGAGAAGGAAGTGGAAGAAGACATGGCCAACAATGACATAGCTATTGACGAAATTAATAATGACACGCAAGTAACAGAAGTACAAGAACGAATAACCCTCAAAAGAAAATCAAATTTTATATCTCCCAAGAGGGTCAAACGGGTACCATCTGTGGCTTCTGTGAATCAAGGAGCAACCAGTGCTATCTCTAGAGGGCAAGAAGCATACCAAATATTACAAGAAACACTTGCAAGTAAAAAAACAAGAGACGGTAGCACAATTTTTGGAGAACATGTTGCTGCAAAGCATAGAAAATACAGCGCGCATACACAAAGTGAAGTGGAACATCTAATTGGAGATATTCTGTATAAGGCTGATAAGGGACTTTATGAACCACACGTGTCCTCAATCAGTTCCATTAGCCACAAACAATATTATTTATCTCAACCCAATCAACAAATTCATACGAGTATCACGCCTAGTACAACACCCAATTCGTATAATCAATATGCTTCAGACACTCAAAGCATCAGTACTCCTTTACCATCACCTTCAGAATCAGATGGTCCACTGAATGAAAATGAGTCTTTTTTGTCGGCGACCCCAACAAACCTGACGTTACAGGAAACTGATAATCCGAAGACACCCATCATACGTTTTATAAATGCATTTACAGATAGTCTTTAAGGCATTTTTTGTTTTTTTTATATAAACCCTAGACTTTTTAATAAATACCTAAAGCATATTATACATAACTATTGAACTCACCTTAACGTATTCTTGAAGCGTCTCAATTATAGCAGAGCAAACCTCTGGTATTATCCTTGAAATGAGTTCTTTTGAAATTTTAAAAGTATACATTAAACTTGTATACGAGTTACCAGTAGCTAAATATCGTAGGGTTAACATTAACCTTTCTGTTGACGGTATTGCTTCTCTAAACTTTGTATCTTGTTTCGCGATTTTTGGACCGATTTCATTTAATAACCATTCAAAATCAGTAGACTTCATTCTACAAAAATTTACAAAAAGTCCGTATTCCATTTCAGCTTTTAGATCACTAATTAAGTCCAGCCCTCTATACCGACTTCTGCTTTTGAACAATGATGTTGTCCACCAGCGCCGTTTTCGTCGTTTCTTGGGGGGCTCTTTCAATGCTTCGGTCTCCGCCTCACTAATAATAATATACAACGCACTTGCAATAATTATATCCTCATCATCGGACGCCATTTTTTACCATTTACAAAAATACCCGCGAACCTCGACGAATGACTGCAAACGAATTCGTTCACCGTAATGTGGACGGCAGAGCAAATTTTCCATCGAACGTCGAAATCATCGAATGAATTCGATCGAAGAGCTTCGGCCACATGCGTTCGCCAGATGTGTACGCGCCTTTAAAACATTGGTTATGGCATTTTAACAAAAATATGACAGCAGAAAGTTAGGTTATGGTGAAGTTGTTTATCAACATATTTAGCATATGTAACAGTTGTATAAGTGCTTCTGTTGGGAGCAATTTGTTGGCTAATGTAGTAAATTGCACAGCAAAGCAACAAGGCTCGGGTTTGTTTTATAAACGTTCGCATGGGTGCCACAACACAACCATTTTGACTAACTTGTAAATATGCCGTATAAAATAGTTGTATAAACGTTTATGCAACAGTTAAAAAATTGCCCTATAAGGTGTTGCATAACTATGCTATAAGAATATTTTAAACACCTCAGTTTAGAGCAAATATGTTACAGAAAGCAAATTTGCATTCCACACAACATTAAGCCAGCATTTTGGTGTTCAGGCAACAACAATAGAGAGCTTTTATGGCTGAACGGTTCTTTTACCAAAAGCTTATACCACTACTTTGCTAGTTGGGTTGATACGCATAGCAAATGTACCAAAATGTTTTTTACTTTTGCTGACAAGGGGGAAGACGGGCGGTAGATCATTGTGAAAAAACCGCTCACGTAATACTTGAACGGTCACCATGACCTCTAAGCGCATTTGAAGGTCAAGACAGTTTTCCTAAAGGAATACCCTTATTTTTGTAAGGATGTAAGGATCGTTGACTTTTTTAAATCTTACAACTTCGTTCGAGTACATTTCTCTTTATGAAACAAATTCTTCGTAACATTTTGTCCTGCCAATACTTTTTGGCCACCATCAAATACCCATGAACGCAAGTTTCCTGTTTATATTTCCGATGTCAAAAATAGGTGTTTGCTTTCAAGAAAAGTGTCTTGACCTCCACATGACCCTGACCCTTTTCAAATTTCACAACTTTTTTTACATGTTTCTATAGGAAACGTATTTTTCGAGATATTTTAATGTACGCATACTTTTACATCCAGTACAGTAATTTATACAGTAACGGGAAAGATTCCCCTGAAACTCCCAGTAATGCCTACTAATACCCAATGATTCCTCTAGTTTCAGAAAATTCTCTCATAACTCCTTATAATACACTTCAGTTACTCGATAATTCCACGTATTTCTCAAAAATTCCTGAAGTTCTTTTGCTTGTACCAGTAGTTGAAGAAAATTAATCCTTTCAGCGACTGCTTGCATGGAAAGATTATTTTATATGGCTGATTCATCTTTTTCGCTTTACGTTTGCAAACCACAATCAAATTACATTTATATCACGTTAAAATAAGCACGAATACCCGATCTCCGTTCCTATTCGCCCCCGTTGCAGCGTGCCCTAGCATTTACGACGCGGTAGCTAGTTGAAGCGCGAGAGTTTGAATTTCAGGTCTTCGGAGTCCAGATCACCGAGGACTTGAATGCATAAATGAAAACACGAAATTAAAGGCATACCGGTCACCATAAGGAGCCAGTGCATAGGTTACTCAGTCGGGCCCTTGTGCACCTCCACATTTCTTAGACCTCAAGCCTCGTCATGCTAGCGAAGTTGAGTATGACCTTGAGCCCAAACTACTTAAAGTCGTTGGGGTCCAAACTGATGGACCCCAGTACACTCTGCCTGTAGTAGCTAAGAGCCTCGCAGCGACACAGAACGTGCACCGAGGTCTCTTCTTCTACCCCGCAGCGCTCACACAAGGGATTCTCAGATACCTTCATCACGTGCAGATGGCGCCTTAATGTGTTATGGCCAGACAACAGTCCCACCAGCAACCATAGGTTGGCTCTATCCAAAGATAATCAGAAATGCCCGTCCTTAGCGTTGGGCCCTGCAATGAGTTCCCGTGCCTGACGTAGATGTCTGGAGATGCTTCTCCACTTCTCCGTTTTCCTCTTAACTCTTAGCGCGGGCACCCCTAAAGCTGGCTTAGGACCAACGAGCTTGTTTTCTGATCCTGTCTTCGCCAGAGCCTCCGCCGTCTCATTGCCCCCTATCCCAGCGTGCCCCGGTACCCACATTAACGATACCGGATGCTTCGCTGCGAGGCAATCCAGAGCCTCCCTGCATTGCAATACAAGACTCGAAGTAATCTTAAAGGCACTTAGTGCCTTCATTGCAGCCTGGCTGTCGGATAAGGTTGTTATTCTTCTCCTAGGCCTACCCTCCTCCAGAATGTGAGATACACAAGCCAGAATCGCAAAGCTTTCCGCCTGGAAAATGGTGGTGTATCCACCGAGAGGCAGGGATAGCCTAATTCTAGGCCCAGAGACCCCAACGCTTGAGCTCTCTTCGGTGACCGAGCCGTCCGTGTACCAGACCTGCCCGCTCACTCCGGAGAGTCCTCGGCTACCGGCATCCCACTCCTCCCTCGCTGGATACTCCACATTAAAGTTGCGGTTGGAGCGATACTTAGGGGTAACTACATCGCCCCTGCTCAGCAGGACAGGATCCTCCATTTGCAGTTCGACCAGAATGGCAGTATGACCCTTGACGGGATTCAAGAAAGCCCAACTGTCCTGACTCCACAGACGATGTGCGACTACTCTCTCCGCGGATCACTAGATCCAATAGCGGGAGATCCAGCAGAGCTTCCATTGCACTCAATGGCGTTGTCCGCACTGCGCTTGTATTGCTAATCCATACAGCCAATCGCTGAATTTTATTGAATTTGGCCTTATTCGTCTCAGTTCCAATGCAAGGAGCCATACAAGAGAGATGGATGCATTATTGTCGTGTAGAGCCAGTAAACCACGTTGGGTTTGAGCCCCCACCTAACACGAACAACGAGTCTACAAGCCCACAATGACTTGCGAGCTTTGATAACCTTAAATTCAACGTGCCCTCTCCAGTTCAGTTTACAGTCCAGGACAATTACTAGATATTTTACTGACTGGGATAGGACTAATCTAGTCCCAAAGAAGGTCGGCAAGACAAGCCCGTCAAGCCTTCTTCTGCTAGTGAATAGGATCAGCTTGGTCTTTCCAGCGTTGACCGAAATATCCACATATTCAATACCGCACAAAGCGCTTCGCATAATCTCAGAGACTGTTCCACAAAAACGACCTCTAACTACTATACCGAGGACTTAATCTGACATGAACACATCGATACAATCACGGTAGGTGCTGGAAAAAGCTAGGCTATTTATTTAGATCTAATAAGTGGTTTTCTCCACATATCAAATCTAGCCTCAGGTACGGCTGACACGTTTGGGGTTCTGCCGCCCTGACTACATTGTCCATAATCGATCCTGTTCGACTAATCAGTGACACTTCTCTAATGGACAGTCCTGGGACTCTTCTACCTTTATGTCAATGGGCTTTGCTCCTCAGAGCTCTCCTCCATTATGACGCCGGGTGATGAGCCTGCCAGAGAGACCCGCCTTCCATCCTAACCCTACCGAACTTTGTAAATACTGAACTGGTTAGTACGACCGATCCTTTGTCCCTAGAATGTCGAGATTGTGAAACAATCTGCCTGAGGAGGCTTTTCGCGGTTCTACTAACCTTAATTAAAAAATAGAAATAACAAGCTGTCCTTAAGTTTCCTAAAAAATACCTCGAAAATCGAGGCTTGCTTACCACCAGAAAATATGATTTTGGACACAAATGTTTAACTGGGTAAGTACATTATGCCATATAAGGTGTGTAGAATTCCGTGATTGTCTGGAAGTTAAGTGAAACCACATATGCTTGAATTACTTTTATCGATATCCCGATACGATGACAATGACAAATAATCTCATTGTACGTGAAAAAGGCCACCATGCATGGCCAAAACGTTGTCATTAAAAAGAGTGACAAGTTACACGTATTTGGTTTGAGTTAGCGGCCAGTTGATAGAGTCCTAGAAACATGAAAACCAAACGATTGACGTTGGGACCTATTTTATATTGGTAGATTATGTTACATATGATGCGTTTGGCTTATACAGGATGTTCATTTGAAAGCTTCCCACCATGGATTTATCGAAAACCACTGATGAAAACGCCTAGACACGTCAACAGATTTGTCAAGGGGGACAATTTTTTTACAAAAAACTACTTCACCTCCTTTCACCCTCTGCTCTCCAGGATCATCCCCTTAAAAATTTTGAATGACAAGGGGTATCAAGTAATAGCTTGTTTGAAAGGTTATTTGAAGTCCTTTATTTTGAAGTTTTGTGTGATTTTTTACAAACGGTCGATTCGTTTTCACGAAAATTAAAAAATTCTTTCTTTACCTTAATTTGTTCAGATAGAAAACAAAAGCACAAGAAAATATCACTTTTTATTTTAATGAGTGTTCAAAATGTTGCCCGTTATTGGCCAAACAATGATATAGG